ATGACTCATCATGGCTTTGCTGTTCTTGAGAAGAAGATTTTTAAAGATTTTTCCTATATATTTCTATGTAAAACTTTGATCCTCCATTGTGGCCCCGCCCTACCCCCGGGGGTCATGGTTTGAACAAACTTATATCTACACTACTTGAGGATGCTTCCATATAAATATGACTCATCATGGCTTTGCTGTTCTTGAGAAGAAGATTTTTAAAGATTTTTCCTATATATTTCTATGTAAAACTTTGATCCTCCATTGTGGCCCCGCCCTACCCCCGGGGGTCATGGTTTGAACAAACTTGAATCTGCACTACCTGAGGATGCTTCCATATAAATATGACTCATCAGGGCTTTGCTGTTCTTGAGAAGAAGATTTTTAAAGATTTTTCCTATATATTTCTATGTAAAACTTTGATCCTCCATTGTGGCCCCGCCCTACCCCCGGGGGTCATGGTTTGAACAAACTTGAATCTACACTACCTGAGGATGCTTCCATATAAGTATGACTCATCAGGGCTTTGCTGTTCTTGAGAAGAAGATTTTTAAAGATTTTTCCTATATATTTCTATGTAAAACTTTGATCCTCCATTGTGGCCCCGCCCTACCCCCGGGGGTCATGGTTTGAACAAATTTGAATCTGCACTACCTGAGGATGCTTCCATATAAATATGAATCATCATGGCTTTGCTGTTCTTGAGAAGAAGATTTTTAAAGATTTTTCCTATATATTTCTATGTAAAACTTTGATCCTCCATTGTGGCCCCGCCCTACCCCCGGGGGTCATGGTTTGAACAAACTTATATCTACACTACTTGAGGATGCTTCCATATAAATATGACTCATCATGGCTTTGCTGTTCTTGAGAAGAAGATTTTTAAAGATTTTTCCTATATATTTCTATGTAAAACTTTGATCCTCCATTGTGGCCCCGCCCTACCCCCCGGGCTCATGATTTGAACAAACTTGAATCTACACTACCTAAGGATGCTTCCACATGAGTTTCATCTTTCCTGGCCCTATGGTTCTTGAGAAGAAGATTTTTAAATGATGCCATTATTTTTTCACTAATTCCTAATTATCTCCCCTTGGAAGAGGGCATGGCCCTTCATTTGAACAAACTTGAATCCCCTTTACCCAAGGATACTTTGTGGCAAGTTTGGTTGATATTGGCCCAGTGGTTCTTGAGAAGAAGTCGAAAATGTGAAAAGTTTACAGACAGACGGACAGACAGACGGACGCCGGACAAAATGTGATCAGAAAAGCTCACTTGAGCTTTCAGCTCAGGTGAGCTAAAAAGTGTATGCCAAGAAATCAAGTCCATGGCATTAATATGTCTGAATATTAAAAATCCCAATCAGAGACTAAAATACTATTAGGTAAATAAGGGTTTTCCCCCACATTATGTACATATATATACTATTAATAGTGACAAAGGATAATAGATTTACTTGAAGTTATCAGTGAAAAGAAGGTAGCTCCTCTATCTAAAATAGCTCTTTCATATTCCTAAATGGTTACTAGTACTGCAAATGCCCATGAGAAAGTCTAGCTATTAGGCTGCATAAATAATTGATCTCTTCTCAGAGATTCTGGACATAATGTTAGGTTATATCTATGATTAATCCATCAAGAGCATTTCGTCTCCTGTTGCATGTTAATACCACATACTAATGAGAAAGTTTTCTTACCTGCATCATATTAAACATCTTTAAATCGTATTCATTATTTACCGGTAAGTGACAAAAGCCTCACTTGATATAACAAGTACTGTTTAGTACCATAATAGTGACACTAAGTATTTTCCTTATTGTTTCCTTATTGTAATACTTGTTAGAGCTACTTAATATACCATGTTTCCTTATTGTTTCAACTACTAGACAAAGAGCCCCTCTACAGTTTCAAAATTCTTTTCCGGTAGCATTCGACATCATTTACGAATATGTTTTTCAAAACCTGATAACGATTTTATAATGCGTAATCAACATGTATTAGATTTCTCTTTTTATGCACACTATTCAGATTTTGTGGGGTAAAATCTACCTTTCATTCCTCCATATCTAGAATAGTATGAAGAGTTTGCCTTCAGATTGAGTCCATCTGTCGGGTTTAAGAGTCCACCACTTGCAGAGACATTCTTCTTTATGCTCCAAACGTCATCCATGTCAAACTTAGAGCCTGAAATCATTTAATACATGTTTTCAATTTCAAACATAAACAAGTGAAATTGAACATCATACATGTACTAAAATTTAGTAAACCTTTACAGACCAGTTTCTGTTTTGTTTTCATAATTTCATTCAGTCAAACTTGTTAAATTCCATGATTTTAGGAAATATGATTCATTACATTTAGGCTTGAAAAGCTTGAAAATCTAAAATGTTGTTCTTGGAGAAGTTTCAATATTCTAATCTCAACACTGACCCCTCCCTCTTATTTTGGCCAATTAATTCTTTGCATGAAAACCATAATTTGAAGACTACCACCTTCTTTATATGGAGATGTTTGTTGATTAATATGACTGATTGCAGTCTCTCTATAAGATTTATAAAGATTTTCCCTGCATATTTTGATGTAAAGCTTTGACCCCTCCTGTAGCCCAACCCTAACACGAGAAGTAAATGATTCCAGCAAAGTTGAATCAATCTACACTAAATTATATAAAGAAGCTTTCATTAAAGTTTTGTCTCCACTTGGAATGGCCATGGTTCTCATTTGACTAAATCAAAATCAGTTTTATCCAAGGATGCTTTGTGGCAAGTTTGATTAAAATTGGTCCAGTGGTTCTGAAGAAGTTGCTAATGTGAAAATTAAATTAACACATGAGATACTGAAAACAGACATACAACAAGCAAATTTTAAGGAAAAGATTACTTAATTGATCCTTTGGCTCAAGTAAGCTAACAAGACACAAATAAGATTTACAATAGCTCATTTGAGTCTTGATTAGATCAGATGAAAAAAATATTTGAAAATTTCCTGGGCAGTGTTTAGAATGAGAATTTGAAAATTAGTCATTAATGCATACAGGGTATGAAAACTTTTTTTTCATTTTCATTTGAACTGTATTATAAATATACTTGCTAAGGAAATCTCAAGTATAGTCATTGTTAAGATGGTTTCCGTAAATCAAAAACTTAACACTAAAGTGTCAGAGTAATTGGCTCACTCTCTGGTTTAAGTAGCATAAGTGTCATATTAAAAACATTTCTCAAGTAAATAATTTTTTTCTTCTTTTTTGGGTAGGATAGACTGCTTCTTTAATTCATCCTTATCACCTGCATAATTTTAGGAAATAATCAAGACTAAAATATCTGATCTATTACAGTACCTTAATGATAACACCTAAGACTGACACCACTCTTGCCAGTATACCTACCAGAAACTGGGGTTGTCTCTTTGCGCGGGGAAAATATCCATTGTTCTTCTCCAGGTTCATCCTTTTTAGGCCCGGAGTACAAGAACTTCTTGGTATTTCCTGGAAAAAGAATAGTTAACTACAGATTCACAAGTCCTTATACCTTGAACTGTCTATACCTTTTGTCCAATTACTAGAGACCAACAGTACAGTCAATACACTGTGGCATACATAATGCAATGAAAATGTACACCTCAGAAGAAACACATTGATTAAGACCAGATTTGTAGGCTTCCTGCAAACAAGAACAAACCTTTTGTATTCATTATGAATTCTCCTTGAAGTATTTCCTACATCCTTCAAGAAAATCATTAAACAGAAAAAAAACAAAAAAAAATCAATTTACGTCCTCGATATACCCTGCACGTAAATTAGCAGAATTCCACCCAGTATTATAGTTTACACATCGAACAAAGCAATATTACTTGCTGAACACATCCAGGTATTATTTGACACATTCAAGCAAGATTGGATTTGGTGTTTGCAATATCATTGGATATATGTATAACGTCCAAACTCGGCCAATCAATTCACGATTCACAAAAGAGTTTCTTTGAGGTTCTCTCCATAAGAAGCTGGTTCTCAGAACCCACCCATGCTTTAACAAAACAGACTTCTTACAAGACAAATAATCACACACAGGGCAAATGATATGACAAATGATCTAATTAACTATTGCTATCCACAAAATGTATTCATTGCCCTTTTTTTGTATATACCTTACACAACACTATATTAAATGTTTGTAAAGCTAATATTCAGGAGATTTTTTTAATGCTAGCTGTTGATTCCATGTGATGTTTTGATTCTCATTCAACATTATATTCTACAGTAAATTCCTACACCATAAAGAAAAATAAATGGTATATGAAAAATTCAGTTTAAACTGCATGATGTACCTCATACATTTAATCACTTCATTCTTTGTAAACATGCAGTATAAGCAAAGTCTACAGCTAAAAATATACAAATACACTGTACATATTGACTTTTCTTACACTTCACTTTTCCTTTAAATCAAACTAATCATGGAATGTTAATTGTATTGATTGTTGTTTAAAGTTTTAAAATTATCTTAAAGATTTTAAGCCATATATTAAGGATACACCAAAGGTTTCCAAATGCCAGAATTTAATTTGAATGTAATTCTTTCATTATCAACGATAACATGATAAAAGTATATATCATTTGAAAGCTTGTTAAATTTACTATTTAATTATCCTAATTTAAACTTAAATTAATAACTTATTCAAAAATTATTTAAATATTAATGTAATTCTTAGTGCTTAAATATTTTATAAATCAACTTTTTTGTATTTAACCCCTCAAAGTGGTCATTTTACCTCAAGGTAGATTAAAGATTGAACTTAAAAACCGTATCTCAGATTTTTGATAAATCTTCTAATTCAAAAGTTACAGCCATTTGCCCTTCAATGTTACCAATTTCTTGGCCTAATTTGACATTTCCCTCAATAATTCCAAAACTATGCTAGATATCAAAAATCTGAGATACGGTTTCGTGAACACACATTTGAGAAGCAACCCATCCAATTTTCAGAGAAATTGGTCAATAAATAAGGGAGCTGAATCCTTTGAAATAATACCACAAACTGTCTGATCTTACTTTACAGTAGAGGGCAAAAACCCATTACACAACAAAATCTGCCAAAGCTAGGAATATAAGACACCTTGGAGATTCAGCTTTGGATACCTGTCACTTAGCCATATTTCCTATGCATATTCACAAGAATGGGAGGTTCTTTTCTGTATTTAGATGCTTTTGATTAAGTAAAATAGGTTCAATTCTGAATCAGAAAGATTTCCCGGCAAAATGGCAAGAGCTAAGCTCCACCTCCTATTTTATGGTCATCAGTGATCTGTTAGATCTCTTTCTCTAAATCTAGAGTCCCTGTAGTTTAATTACTGATAACCTCTGTGTGGCTAGTGAAGAATTCCCCAAGTGGTCACAGTGATTTATTGCGTCTTTCATGAGCAGGCAGTCACAGATCAAATCAGAAGCTTCAATAACGGAACATTCACATGTGGTAGTGTTTATGTTTCATTATTGTTAAATAATTAGAAAACCATTTCATAATTACCAAGAATTTTACATGCATTATAAAGCAGTGATTAACTTCTTTTTCTTGGCCAAAAATCTCAAAATTGTTGAAAATCTTGAAAAAAGCCTTTGGTGTATCCTTAAGGAAAACAGATAGATATACATAAATTTTAATTAGAATGCATACATTGCAATAATATTGCATAGGCATACTTTATGTTTATATATATGGATCAAACATAAACACAGCAATTCCAGTGCCATCTTCCTAATAAGGAAAGAATGTACACGTAGTATACATGAATACATGGTTGTCCTGGTAACATACTTGATGTTATAGATTTTTTTCTCTTACCTTATGAACTGTTACATACGTACACTTACATTCACCCTCTTTTATGTGACAGAGATATTGACATGTTAAACTAGAACTGTCCAATAGGGACAAATACCCCCTGCTGGGTTTTTCAGAGAAAGTACCAAATCACTAATGTTTTCTAGATGTGAGAGGTGTTCACAATTTCCTTAAACATTTCCAGTGAAAATTTAATTACTCATTATATTTTTTATATGTCCGTCTTAAGACGGGACGTATTATGTTATAGCGTTCATGTCCGTCCGTCTGTTAGCTTTTTCATGTCCAGCTCATAACTTTAATACTTTTAGGCCTAGAATTATCAAACTTTGTCAGCTGATACATCTAGGGTAGAAGGTGTGTCGCACATTAAAACCATGTCATTCTGACCTTTAATAAAGACGCTATGGCTAAATATGGAAAAATCATAACTAGAAAACCATTAGACTTAGAATCAAAAAAACTATGTCTTTTAACTTTTAAATTACACAATCCCAAAAGATGTCAGAGTATTGCAGTATCTTTATTAAAAAAGTGTTAAATCAAGAAAATACTAGTCTTATTTTTTTCATTATGTTCTTTACAGCAATCTGTAACAAGAAAAATTCCACCTCTCCCATGGGTGTAATGATCAGGCACTGGTCAAGGAAAATTTTGATAGCAGAAAATTGCATGTCAAATTAGAGATAAATTAATGAGTTTAGTGTGAGGTGATAACTGGTAGAGCATCTCTGATCAAGCAGGTGTTATCTACATCTCTTGGGAAATGGGCAAAAGGAATCAGTCTCTTAATTAATTGCTTGTGTTGTATTGAATTGTTCTTGTTGGCTAGTCTTACTTTCAAGATAAATTTGATGTAATTAAAACTAATTTGATATTGTTTATAATAATTAAAACTTATATGATATTGTATAATATAATTTAAACTAATTATTTATTGTACATTTTTTATTTGAATTTTTATATCTTTACAACAAATTGCAGACTGCCTTGTCTCACTAAGATGTCATTCGACCAATTGAATCTAAACTGTTTATGATAATTTAACAATATTTGATGGGCGTATAATGCTGTGGTGGGGCACTTTATTTTAATGAATGAAACTAAAGTGCAGCCTAATAAAACATCAACACTAATAATTACAGTGTTTTTTTATTACATTGAAAAAATAGTTTGCAACTATCTGTCATCTTTGTGAGACATGACACTCTGCAAATTGAGTGTTGAAAAAAAAAATATCATAATTAATTATACAAAATCAAATTGATTTTAATACCTTTATATCAAACTCATTTTAAAAATAAAAGGCTGGTTTTAGTAACTATGTATTTTGACAGACATAAATAACAATTAAGAGACTTAGACAACAGAGATCTTTATTTCTTTCTGCCCAATTCCCCGGAGATATAGATAAGACCTGCCTGATCAGAGATGCCCTAACAGCTTCCCACACTGAACTCATTAATTAATCTTTAACTGGATGCATGTCCACTCATTACTCCCAAGGGACAAATGGATTTACACTATCTGCTGTGTAATGTAAAAACTGTTTTTAATACTTTGTGGGTTTTTTTTTAGTTCTAATGAGTAGTTTTAAGCTGTAGTTCACATTTTTGTACAGATGTTCTAGATTCTATGTCTCAAACCTTAGACATGAACCCGAAATGACTAAGTCAATAAAAATTTTTAAAAAACACCTGTAAAATGCAGAAAAATTATCAAATAATGTTGAAAATACCAGGTGCACATCTTCATATGGTAAATAATAAGTGTACAAATTTTCATACAAATCTATGCAATAGTTTCTGGGAACAGATCCAGACAAAACCACATAACAAAAATGAAAAAACACCTGTAAAATGCAGAAAAATTATCCAATCATAATGAAAATACCAGGTGCACACCTTCATATGGTGAATAATAAGTGTACAAATTTTCAGACAAATCCTTCCAACAGTTTCCAAGAAATGGTCAGGACAAAATCTCATCTACAGACAGACGGACGGACAGACGGACATGCTGATTCCAATATACCCCCCCTAAACTTCGTTTGCGGGGGGTATAACAATTAAACCAGTGTAGTCAGCCATTAGAAGTACACACATTTAGAGCTGTATTTAAATAGTTCTTAAGGTATTGTCTTTCAAACATGGTAATAATTTCTACTATGTGTTTTATAGCTATGCGACATAAATATATATTTAAATTCACAGCTATGCATGTACAAATACATCTATTTCTATAGAATGAAAGTCTGTCATTATTTGTTCATGTTCACCTATTTGTAAAGTTTAATTCATGTACATTACTCTTGGAATCTTATTATAAAAACTGATGTTAACATGAACATGGCCATAAAATCAAGATATATAAGCTCACCTGGACTGGCTGGATTCCTCATTACTATAATTCTAAATGTACAAAGACTTCTGAGTTAAAGATTCAGTCACAAGTCTCATTTTAGTCAATTTCCTCTCGATACATACTGGTTATGTTAATTACACCATATTTAGTCTGAATCATATAGGCTGTAGTATCCAGGCTTAAATTCAAAACTTATGTAAATAAAGAATCGAAATAATAATATATTCTTACAGAAATAGACCTTTAAATGATTGAGTAATACATACAGATTAGCTGCTTGAATTTGACCCAAATATATATGTGTGTTTTGTACATATATTAATTAATTTGATAGACCAAGAAGATTTTAAAAATCTCCTTTTGTTGTGGACCAAAGTGTTTATCCAAAAGCTCCTGAAAACGTTGTGAATAATCTAACACCAGGCCCTTCTGATCGTGTCAATGATCTATTCGTTACAGAACAAGGCATTCAATTGGCACCTTTGAAGTTTAAACTAATGACTATTTTACATGTCACCATTGATTTGAAAGAGTATGACGTAAAATTCAGTGTACATGTATTGAAATACCCCTCAAAAGTGCCATGAAGTTCAATCAGTTTATTCAAATTGATGTGATGAAATCACATATACATGTACATGATATAGGAGTACCAACATTAAAACATTGCAGTAAGGAAAAGCTGACATGTACAGTCAATATTAAAACCATTGTCAGTTTTTTGACATCAGTGAACTTTTTTTAAAATCAGATGGTCTGACTTAATTAAGGCAGAATTTACTAATACTTTGCTTAAGGTTAGATAAAAAAACTTTAAGATATAATCTTTGAGGAGAATAATACCAGGGTACCTACAAAACAAAGTATATATCCTAGGAACTATCTTGCTTAACAGTTTTGGAAGGTTTTAGCTATAAACAGTATTCAACAGGTTCTATATATTCTCTCCCATAAATTCATCAAATACATCATGTATATTGGTATTGAGGGTCCTCTGAAGGAGTAGTGCTATAGTAGTACCCCATCTGTCAATATTGGTCATTCAGAATTCACTGGTTATGGCATTAAAGATTCAAGTAAATACAACATATATATATATATATAAGAAATAGAAAACTCTATTAACATACTACAATGAATTCCTTTCTTTGTGCGAGTTTACCTTCAGTGGGTACTTGTTCCTTGTGTGAGTTTACCTTCAGTGGGGACTTGTTCCTAGTGTGAGTTTACCTTCAGTGGGGACTTGTTCCTTGTGCGAGTTTACCTTCAGTGGGTACTTGTTCCTTGTGCGAGTTTACCTTCAGTGGGTACTTGTTCCTTGTGCGTGTTTACCTTCAGTGGGTACTTGTTCCTTGTGCGCGTTTACCTTCAGTGGGTACTTGTTCCTTGTGCGTGTTTACCTTCAGTGGGTACTTGTTCCTTGTGCGAGTTTACCTTCAGTGGGTACTTGTTTCATACAGAGGACAATTTTCCTTTGGTTTTTCAGTTAGAAGTGAAAGTTTATCACTGGATAATATATTCAAGGTTTGATATGTCAGTTATAACAATTCTGAAACCTGTCATCATAATGCATTTCCAATCTCCTTTCAAATATAACCTCCCAGTAAATAGTTGAAGCTCGGTAAGAAAGGGTTCTTGTTTTGACATCAATTTTTCTCTTACAATCAATAACCATCAGATATGCATTTACCAGATTATTATCCAATGAAGGACATATATACTTAAAACAAGACAATGACGTCAAAAAGAGCACAAGATCAATTAAAACCGAGTTATCTGGATCCGAGATAAACACCAAAACAAACAAAAGCCAGGCTGGCTAGAAGAAATTGAAGTTGATAAATTCTGAGGGAAAAGAGAAGATATGGATTAAATGCCCAAGAAATTTAATTGAACATAAAATCCATTTTCTGTCATATTGTTATATAAAGTACAGTGACAATTTTCTTAGCATGAAGTTTAATAAAGAATCTTAAAGATACTAAGTCTTTCAAGTTACCAAATGTAAAGATATTAGTACTGGCTACATCTTCACACTCAAGTGAACTATCTGACATTACAACTGGAAGACAGCAATATCTGAATATGAAGTATACCTACAGTGTACAATAAGGTTTCTTTGGACTTACGGTGGGTGTGTCTGTTTCTTTAATCTTAATCTGTCTTACATTAAGTATTAAAATAGTACATTTTATGACTAAGCAGTACACTATAACACTATACATAAGTACTAATGTCAAACATGTACAAAATAGCAAATTCACGAATAAAAAATATTAAACAAATGAACACTGAAAAAAAAAAACAACAAACTATTGTCAGAGGTAACTGTATTCATAAGTTCATGAAGTACAATTGTTGACAGTATTCCAATTCAAACTGCCAATAAATCAACAAGTTTATTGTACATAATTGTTTGGCATTAATGGAAAGTTTGTAATGAAAGTAAACACACTCAAGTCTCAAAAGAGTTTAATAAATGCAACTATAAAAGTATTCAATTGGTTTTGTATTCTATTTAGCACTTTTTGGGGAAGAGTTTTCTGCTAAATAGAGTACATTGCAAAATTTCTTGCATGTATGTATCTAATGGCAGTACATTCAGATGTGCTAAATCAAAATTTTGCTAACTTATTGAAAAATTCATTTTCATCAAATATAACACCTCTCAACAAGAAACAACAGGAAAAGAAACCTCGGCATATCTATAAAGACATCGGATTCCACAATGTTATGAATCACTCTGAATAAAAGTGAGCATGCTCACATACCCCATACTCCCACAATGCTTGACAACGCTATACATAATTAATTAATTAATTAATGGCAATGCTATGCATAATTAACACCCCCTTCCCCTTCCCTTATACAAATGAATGTCACATCAGAATCAGATCTGATTCAACAAGGCTCAAATTTAAGTTTAAGAATTAAATTTCTATGAACCATCTTTTCTGTCACAGTCAATTTAGTGTCATGTGACACAATGGCATCCATGCAAAGATATTTGATCCTGTAATAAAACTGTTTTTGTTTTACATGTGAAACTGAATGCAGTCTGATTTACTGTAAGAATTTCATCATATTATGCTTGTAACTAAGACATTTGGCTCACTATCCTTCCTTCCATTCATTTGGAACTCGCAGTTTTCATTATAATTAAAAACATTTCTTGATGAAGTTGATGTCAGTGACAGTCTTCATTTCAACTTTTTTTCCACATTTTTTTTTTAACTATTTAAACATGGTAACAGGACACAACAAATTATACATGTTATAAATAACCAAACCATGCATGGAGGGAAAGATAAGAAAATCATTAAGAAAGTCATAAATATTAAATATACAATCAAGATAATTAATTTATCAGACAAAAATGTTGACAACTTTTTAAAATACTGAAAAAAGAAATGAATAAATTTTGCTGAAAAATTTTATTTACTCAGATTGGGCTATTGCTGACCTACATTTACTAGCCTGACCAAATTTTTACTAATATTTGGGCATCAGGCTAGTGCTTTTGGCACCCACTATAACTATAGTGTTAAACAATAATGAATGGTGCACATAAAGTCTAATTACGATTTCAGTCATACCATGAGCAGGTCCGAGACAATCACTGAAGCCATATAGCTTAAATTAGCTATATTGCTTTATCAACCTATTTACAAAAGTTTTTTTATTACACTTATTTCGTTATGTGTTATTTTTTTCAACATGTAAAAAAAAAAAACTGCAGTTTGATACGGTGATGGCCAAATAAAACCTGTCAATCAAAACTTGTCACTTTCAGAGATTTTGCACTCAAAGTTCTAAAAGTGTTGGGGTATTTAAAGCAATTTATTTATTATCATACGGTTACTTCTTCAATGACATCATGAAGGAATAAGTTTTGGTAAACAAAATGATTGGTAATAATTCTGCACAATGATAAGCAATCATACTTATCCACACCTCAACAAACACACAAGGTGCATAGTTACCCAAACAATGTATATACATGTACTTGTACATCTTTTGCTTAAAAATGTTCAAAAGCTGTTCTTGATGTTGTTATCAGGTTATCTTTGATCTGGGTTGTGTTTTGATAGTTAATGGTCATATATTTGCCAACTGCATGTAAATTACTTTATCAAGTTATTTTGATAGCTAATAAAGTTGTATGGCTAATTCAAGCCATACAGCTAAACCAAGAAACCGTGCTGGTCCTGGTAACTTACATACTTCACTAGAGCTAATTACATTATTATTCAAACTTACCCCTCTGTATATTATCTCCGTTCCTCATCTATATAGAGAATATCATCACTAGTTTAGCATTAAAAGTATATAAATATCAACAGTTGTGTGGAAAATCAAAATTATGAAAATATTTTTTTAGAACGGATGTTCATCGTCTGCCATATCTAAACAAACGGAAGCGAGGTTGGAATGGGTTTAACTAATGTGCGAAAGATACATCAGACGACAGGAAAACAACCGAAAGTCCAAAGTTTATGAGAAGACGGGAATGCAATGTTAAAATTTGTCTTATGCATTATAGAAAAGACATTTCAACTTGACAAATTTATAAAAGAATAATAGACATTTATATCATTAAGAGTTATCTCTCTTATCAGAATATCAATGAACCTTAACAATGATGTTGTAAGAGTCTATCTTTGTGTCGGGAACAGCGATAAAAAAGTTTAAGCTGTGAACAGAAAACTCAACTGGAAGTAGAAGTATAGCTATCAAATCTAAAATCAGAAAACCAATAAAATTCCAAATACAAACTTAAGACTCAAGCAATGAAATAGATAAGCAGCTGATTATATCCTTAGACACTTTAATGATACCCATTTCCGAGATTTTTTAAATCCCTAAATAAATGAAAGTTTTCCACATTTCTATTCGTCTTCAAGGTTTGCTGTCAGAGACCATATGGGGACGGCGTTCGATTTTTCTTTGTAAACTGTTATTCATACCTGTTCTAGTGTGTATTAATTTAGATAACGAAAGTGTAGTTGCTTTTGCATTTTTATACTATTATGCAGATTACTTTCTTTTCTGTTTTTTCTTCTACATTCTATTGCTATTATCAGGTTTAGTTGCATAAGATGAATATTTTCCTAACGAACTGTCTCCATTAACATTTTAATTCTATCAAGAAAAAAAAAAACACACACACACACACACACACACACACAAAAACAACAAAAAACAAACAAAAAAACAACAACAAATAAACAAAACAACAACAACAAACAAACAAACAAAACAACAACAAAACAAAACAAACAAACAAAAAAAAAAAACAAAACAAAACAAAACAAAAAACAAAACAAACAGACCCCCCCCCCCAAAAAAAAACCAAATCCAAAAGACAAAACAAAACAAAATGAATAAAAAAAAAATGGATATGCAGTAAGCTGAAAATCTTGACATTAAAAAGGATGATTATAAATATTTATAAATATTTTAAAACATCCGTTTGAAAAAAATTACCTTTGAAAACAAAGAAAAATGATTTGGTTGTTTTTAGCACTATTCAGTTTCCCCAAAATACATTTTCACTCCAAAGAGTAAGACATTTATTTAAATCCTTTAATAAACAGAATTAAGGTATTTTTCCTAGAATTCATAAGATGAATAAACTCAGAATGCTAGAATTTGTAAGTCCAGAACAGGTACGATTTACACAAATGCAGTATGCTCCAAATGAAACCAACGAATAGACATGATTTTATTTAACCAATCATTTCCATTCATGTTGATCAAGAAATCAAGTAGAACATTCAGGATTTAAATAAAAGGGGTTGTAGTTGCATCTTTCTTACAGACTTCATCTGTACAAGATACTAATAACTGAAACTTGAAAACATGAACATTTCCTTAGAATTTTCGTGTGAGTTTTTTTTATATTTTGAGTCAGGTTTTAACTGATTAATTGTTTCCTCGTCGGATCCAAATAATGAAAATTGGTCCCGAGACTTTGAAGCCGATGAGGAACCAAAATACAGATATTTTTCATCAGCTTCTTAGCCAAGAAACCGTTATCCGAATGAATTTGGTGAATAATGTCCAGTCACTGATGAAAGGAAGGCTGGCATTTAGAAAGGAAAACTTAAAAAAAAGTTTTGAAAATTGAAGGCGAAGGTAGAGCGTCTAAAAAAGAAAACGAGATGGCCGAGTTCGAAATGAAAGAGGGTCCTTAATGGCCTAACAATTTGAAAGAAAAACGTCAATGAACATTCTACTTAATGATAGATTGTATTTGCTGACAAGGTCGATCATTGTATCGACCATAGAATTTGCAAAGTCTGTTGATATTCTTTCATCAAATTATTTGTTGCATATAATAGTTGGCCTCGTTTTACATATTGTTCTTACGTAGAACATGCTCTTGCGTATCGAATCAACTGGGAGACATAAACCAATATGAAGGTGACACTGGAATACTTAGTATTGCTACATAAATAAGGGAAGTTAACGATAGAAAAATTACCATTAACGTCTTTTTGTAGTAAAATAACCAAGTATGAAACAGATTTGCCAGTCTCTGTGATATCTTTTATTTCATTTTTTTTATTATCTTTTAGTTCAAGGGGATATATCGAATTAACGTAGGAATGAAAATGAATATTGTTAATTGATAAAACATCGTCGATATATATTTATGTTGAATTGAAGGCCAAAGCAAGAGACTTCTTCTTTTCATGTAGACAGTTTTGAATAAATTCTTCATCATTTGAATACAAAAATAGGTCTGTTAGTAAAGGGGCGCAATTTCGACATATAGTTGGAAGACGTGATCTCCAAAAACTACATAGATAGAATTAAATTTTATTGTTGGGAATATAAAAATGAAGTGAAAGTTACGGGCTGTCGAAAGAGAGCTTAAAAACCGAGGTCTCATGTCACGGTAGACATTAGCACGATAGAGAACCCTCATTGCTCAATGTCACTGAGTTCCGAGTATATGTCTAAATTTGAATCCCTTCATCGGCATACGGTGGTGTATCTATATGAGGGAAAGATTCTCGAATGGGACGTAAAACAACATACAACCAACCAATCAATCTTGCTTGTGCAAAAATCCTGAATTCTGATTTATCAGAAAAAGGATTTTCTTGTACAGGCCATTCCAAGTTTTTACCTCTGTTTAGCTTTTCCTTTCCTTCAAAAAACACACAAGGCGGAAAACAAATTTTATTGTCATAAAAAACGACGTCATTTAGAGGATTTGAGTTCATAATTCTAGCTTCCTGATAAAAATATATATTCCTGTGCAAAATATACATACGTTAGGTATTAAATGCTAATTAAGTATATACACCTAATTTGACAGATTAACGACAAACATTGAAAGGAATTGATAGAACCTTAAATGTTTTACCAAAATGATCAATTGGAGACAATACACGATTTTGTTCGTTTTTCTGATCTGGAGTAGGTGTCAAAAACCAAGAGTAAGCGGACGCAAACATAGACAAAACTTGGAAAGTTTTTACGAAGTAAACTGATACAGACTTTGGTTAAAATTTTTGACTTTTAAAAGAAATGGAGAGAAATTGCCCAAACCTTTTAAATGTCCTAAAGAGTACCGAGTAGTCTATGGAATCCGATATATATGTATATGATTTAAAGATTTTGGATATTGGTTGTCTTTTTAAATGTCCAGCAAGTTAAAACCTGACCTAGTTTGGATTTTCATTCATATAAGCGACATGCTAAGAGAAGCTCTTATAGGTTTATTTCTTGCTTTTTTCATTACATACATAATTGTGACTGAGAAGAGGATCGATAGCTTAACTTCATCAAATACAGATTTGAGGAAGAAAGTGGAACACCTTATCAATGCGAATCAGAATCTGTTGAAAGGAGTTGAGGGTAGGTAAATAAAGTCTCGTAGTGTCATTGATAAAAACTAACAGTCTCCTTCTGGATCACCTACGTGTATGTAAACATATATAATAACCATAAAATGTTACTTCATCAACAGTGACCTTCCATGTTGTCATTGCTGAAGGAAGAATATCCATCAGTGTATGTTTTAAAAGTAAATCTTGTAAAAATTGAAATGATACGAAAATTGTGTTTAGTTTATTGTATCAATTCCTAGAAAATGGGGGTTCCACTGTAAGAATTATAGCTGATTGAACTCTACAAGGATCGATAACATAAACTTCTCAATTACTGAAAAATTAAAGGAAGTTGAGGATACAAATCAAAACTTGTTAAACAGATGAGAGTATATTGATGTAAACAGGGATTTCAACAACCTCGTTTAGAGTTAGCATTTCGAAAATTCTATGGTCGTTAAAATGACCTTGTTCAGTTGCAAATACAACCTGTCGCTGGGTCGTATTTTGTCTGACATATTTCATATCAACTGTTAGGTCATTTTTTCGTACTAACTTTGACTACGGATTACTCCGTCTACCTGATCAATACATAGGTCTCACAACGGGTGTGACTGGTATACAGGGATGCTTACTCCTCCTAGGCAACTGATCCAACCCCTGCTGTTTCCAGGCGTCCGTTTTTTTTGTTTTTGCCCTGTTCATGATTTGTATTCTTTACTGTATTTATGAGATTGATCACTGTTCAATTTTACATTTTAAAGGCTTTGGAACTGAAAACTGATTATTTTTGTATGTTTCGGTTTCTATGGGGATCATGACTAGACTAGTTGTGGTTTGTTTCATCATTTGCACAAATGAGATAAAATATGGTCTCACCGATACTACTTATAAATCCAAGATTGATTAAGAGACTTAAGCAAAAGATCGGGACCAAAAGCATGAAGTGCCTTTAAGTGGAAAATCTAGTTATATGAACAAGACACGTCATTTTAATTTCTGAAATTACTTTCAAAATGAAATTTACCTCACAATAATTTTATCTTATTGTGAAGCATTCTAAACGATAGATAGGATTCAAATGATATTTTTTCTCTCGATAAATATGTCTTCTCAAACTGTATTCTTCATACAATAGCCACCACAGAAATTGTTTCATTCTTTTAGACTCGTCAAAGAAGGTTGCCTTTACAGCAGGTACAACAGGTGCGGGAGGAATCGGAAGCGGAAGTACACTAGTATTTCCTGTGGTCATCAATAACGTTGGTGGTGGATACGACCCAGGTACAGGGATCTTTACCGCCCCCATGGCTGGACAGTATGTCTTTTACATTAGCGCCCAGGGGTATAGCAGTGACACATTGTATGTATCTATTGTACACAACGGAGGTGCGAAGGTGATGACAATGTCAGATGGAGGACGGGGTAAAGATTTCTATGACTCTGGATCCAACCTAGTGACTCTAAATCTACAACAAGGTGACAGAGTGTGGGCAAGGTGCCATAGTGGGTCAAATTACTACAGCGAGGGGATACCCATTACAACCTTTTCCGGTTTTCTAGTTTGATAAATCAGATTATATGTTTGCCCCTAAGTGTCCAGTGCATATCAGAAAGCTTTAACAGATTTCAGTCTGTCCTCAGTGGAGGAAGGACATTTTTCAGACTTTGTGGAACTTTTAAGTACAAATTTGCAGAAAAAATTACTATGAGTATAGACTTTTGAATGTCATTTAGTCTTGGTTTGTTTATTCGGTTGACGAAGTACCATATTGTGCAGAATGTGTTCATAAAAAATGTTTAGCTAAAGACTTGCTCGTCACTTAAGAAATGATTTTCATTTTTGAAAATTCATGAGGGCATAAACTACAATGCTTCACGCCTGCATATTTCATGAGGAGCGCTCCAAGATAAATCTTCACGCGTGAAGCGTTGTTGTACACATGTACATGTACATCATGAGTTTTCAAAAATGAATTTATATCTTATATTTACACTGTTTATATGATTACTTGCCACAACTTTATGTCAAGAAATTTCATTTTTGAAAAAAAAAAGCGAAATTCATGCTGACATTCATGCCTGTTCATAAGAAATGAACATTTTTCTAATTTATATGGAAAAATGAGGGGGGAAATATTTTGAAAGGTAGATATTAAAGACTAAATTTAATATACATGTACATGTGCAGATAAGTTTGACAGACTGTTTCCGTTCATATCAATAAGTATTTTCAGATGATGTATTATAAAAATACAAAAAGAGGATTAAAATAGTAAATGTCCTATCTTCTTGTTTTGTACAATACAATCACCTTGTTTCGGAACATGCTGTAATGAATATTAGAGATAACAGAGATCAGTACCTATTGACCACTAGTACAGACTAAATTTATTTCGTTGTTATTTATTATTTTTTGGCGCAGTGGTTAGAGCGTCTGCTCTAGAGTAAGGAGTAAGGAACTGATCTTTACGTCTCTGGTTCGAATCACTGCTGGACGTGGAGAGCGGTCCTTCGGATGAGACCATATAAACGAAGGTTCCATGTCGCAGTAGGTATTGGCACAAAAAAGATCCCTCACAGCTCAATAGCCCTAAGTGCCGAGTTTAAGTATAAATTTGCAGCCCTCCACCGGCAAGTTGTGACCTCTCCATATAAGGGGAAAATTCCCGAGAGGCACATTAAACAACAAACAAACAAAATAATTTATTTTTACATAGGTAAGATATTTTAAGATAAGGGTTTTAGGCATCAAAATATATTAAAAGTCATCCAAAATAGCGCTAAATAGGAATATAGAATCTAAAAGACTTTTATCAGAATCATCAATGAAAAACGTATTGTGAGTCCGAGGTATAGTTATTATCCCCTGCAACGGAGTTCGAGGGGATATAGTCACGCGTTTGTGTACATGTGTGTGTTAGTCTTGTGTGTTAGTGTGTCCTATGTGAAACTGAAATGACTTAATTTGCATTGGGATCGATGCCGAATGCTGCCTTGATTTATAGATATGCTCTTTGCGAGGTGATACTCCGCTTTGCAGTGCCCTTGTTCTTTTTAATCCACTTCAAGCTGGAATAAGCGTGTTTCAAATACTAGTATTACAAGTTAAATTGATGCAAAGCATCAAATCGGCCGCAAATATATTTCTATCCTTTTCAAGTATTTCCACAAGAAAGAATCCATAGAAAAAAAATCCATTTAGAAAGAATCCATTTTAAAACTTTTATTCATAACTTTTATGTATGGATCAATAAGGAATTATTCCAACGAAGCAACAAAAAACGTCTCATTTCCCCAAGTGCACATTCTAACAAAACAACAAATAGATCGGCCGCTGCTGCGGCCGATAATGAAGTCCTAGACTGTAAGGCAAAGTATTGTAAGAAATGGGATGCAGATGTATTTTTTTTTACAGATTTAAACAAGAGGCCCATGGGCCACATCGCTCACCTGAGTACTGTGGCTAGGAAAAAAGCAAAAATCAGTTCAGTATTGAAAAAAGGCATAAGTGTTCCAGACTTACCCGTAAAAGGGGGTGGGGGGGGTGGGGGGGTGTATGATTTGAATTAAATTGAATCTATACCACCCGAGGATGCTTCTATCTAAATATGACAAATCATGGCTTTGCTGTTCTTAAGCAGAAGATTTCTAAAAAAATTTTCTATATACTGCTATGTAAAACTCTGATCGTTCATTGTGGCTATCCCGGGGAGTCATGATTTGAACAAACTTGAATCTACACCACCTGGGGATGCTTCCATATAAATAAGACCAAACATAGCTTTTCTATTCTTGAGAAGAAGATTTTTAAAAATTTTTCCTATGTACTCCTATGTAAAACTTTGATCGTCCATTGTAGCCCCACCCTACCCCCGGGGGGTCATGATTTGAACAAACTTGAATCTACACCACCTGAGGATGCTTCCATATAAATAAGACTAAACGTAGCTTTGCTGTTCTTGAGAAGAAGATTTTTAAAGATCGTTCCTATATATTCCCATGAAAAGATTTGATCCCCCATTGTGGCCCCATCCTACCCCCGGGGGTCATGATTTAAAGAGACTTGTATCTACACTACTTGGGGATGATTCCATATGAGTTTCATTTCTTCTGGCTTTGTGGTTCTTCAGAAGAAGATTTTTAAAGATTTTTCCTATACCGGTATATTCCTATGTAAAACTTTGATCGTCCATTGTGCCCCCCTCCTACCCCCCTCCCCCCCCCCCCCCCGGGGGTCATGATTTGAACAAACCTGAATGTACATCATCTGAGGATATTTCCATATAAATAAGACCAATCATAGCTATGCTATTCTTGAGAAGAAGATTTTTAAAGATTTTTGTTAGATATTCCTATGCAAAACTTTGATCGTCAATTGTGGCCCCACACTACCCCCGGGGGTCATGATTTGAACAATCTTGAATCTACATTACCTGAGGATGATTCCACATGAGTTTCATCTTTTCTGGCCTAGTGGTTCTTGAGAAGAAGATTTTTAAATGATGCCATTAATTTTTCACTAATTTGTTATGATTTCCCCTTGGAAGAGGGCATGGCCCTTCATTTAAAAAAACTTGAATCCCCTTTACCCAAGGATACTCTTTGCCAAGTTTGGTTGAAATTGGCCCAGTAGTTCTGGAGAAGAAGATGAAATTGTGAAAAATTTACAACGACAACAACGCCGCCGCTGACGACGACGAGAACAAAGACGACAGACAACGGACAAATTTTGATCAGAAATGTCACTTGAGCCTTCGGCTCAGGTGAGCTAAAAACATTCCTTTAATGTACTTTTAATTATACTATCAAACAAAAGACAAAAAATAAATAGAGAATATCATTCGACTTCTTCTTATAAAAATATTTACATTATGTAATTAGAAAAAAACAACAAAAGACCCATGGGCCACATCGTTCACCTGAGCTCATTGGTTAGGAAGAAGCAGAAATCAGTTCAGTATTTAACGGGGGAGAGGGGGGGGGGCAAACTTTAATTTTCATAACCTCAGGATGCTTCCATATCAAATCTATACTAATCATGACTTTGCTGTTCTTAAACAGGTTTTCCCTATGTTTTCCACTTTCATTATAGCTCAATTTGAAGAGCTCTCACTCCTTGATCGGAAATTCGTGGGTTCGAGCCCCGGCCGTGACTGACCTAAGTCAATAAAAAAAGGTAGCAACTGTTCCTTCGCCAAGCGCTCGAAACTTTGAAGTGAAAATTGAGGGTCCTTCGGATAAGACCTTAATAACCGAGACCCCATGTCACAGCAGGCGTAGGCACGATAAAGATCCCTCACTACTCAATGGCCCTGAGTGCCGAGTAAAGGTCTAAATTTGAAGCCCTTCACCAGTATATAGTGAAGTCTCTATATAAGTGAAAAATTCTCGAACGGGACATAAAACAAATACAATCAATCAATCCTATGTTTTCCTATGTAAAAGTCTGATCTTTCATTGTGGCCCCACCCTAAGTTTGAACAAATTTGAATCTATAACACTACCTGAGGATGCTTCTATAATAATATGACTAATCATGGCTTTGCTGTTCTTGAGCAGTAGATTTTTTTTTCAAGATGATTCCTATAGTTTTTTCTTATGCAAAACTTAATTGACCCTCTGTTGTGCCCCATGATTTAAACAAACTTGATTCTACAATACCTAAGGTTGCTTCATTATAAATATGACTAATAATGGGTTAGTTGGTGAGAAGAAGATTTTAAAGACATTTCTCATGTTAAAGCATTTCACAGTAGAAAAGGATTTACCAAGAAAAAGTTTCAAAAATGTAATTAACTCAGCAGTAATTAATTAACAAAGATTGCATTAAAGTCTATGGGGACAAGCGATTTAAAAAAAAAAATAAATATTCAAATAATAAGAATGTCAATAAATACTGTGGTGGAAAGATGCATTAAAACATTAGAAATAGAATGACAAATTGAAAACAATTTTTTTACCAGATAAGATTTTTAAAATTGATTTTTTAAATTGATTAAACCCTTACCAAAATTCAAGGTCATAAATTAGGACACACCCCACCCTTACATGCTAATAGTAATAAATGGGAATTATGTCTAAATATACTGAGTATTCAACACCTACACATCTGTTATATATTCAATTTCATTGAAGATGTTGCTATTAGGGATGGAATACCTTAACTTCTTTATTACTGATTCAATATTCAACTTCTTCAGCTAGCTTCTGAATGCACGACTTTCCCAAAGCTTTGCCTTATATACCCTTTAGTTTGGCTAGTTCATTCCAAGGGTTGTCAGGTCATTCCATTATTTGAAGTCTTCAATGCGTTTTACTCAAATGCCCCTTAATCATTATACCTATATAAAACTATGTTAAACTTTATCCCCCTTTTGTGGCCCTGCCCTACCCCCAGGGGCCATGATTGCATGATTGGAACAAACTTGAATCTACAGTACCTGAGGATACTTCTGTAATAATATGACTAATCATGGCTTTGCTGTTCTACAGAAGAAGTTTTTTAAAGACATTTCCTATATATTCCTATGTAAAACTTCGAACCCGTCTTGCGGCCCTGCCCTACCCCCCTGGGGTCATGATATGAACAAACTTAAATCTACATTATGTAATGAAGCTTTCACATAAGTTTCATCTTTTCTTGCCCAGTGGTTCTTGACAAGAAGATTTTAAAAGATGCCACCAAATTCTTAATTATCTCCCCTTGAAAGAGGGAGCGACACTTCCTGTGAACAAACTTAATTCCCTTTCACCCAAGGATGCTCTGTGGCAAGTTTGGTTTAAATTTGCCCAGTGGTTCTTAAGAAGAAGTCGAAAATGCGAAAAGTTTACGGATTACAAACGACAGACGGACGCCGGACATTCTTTGATCAGAAATGCTCACTTGAGCCTTCGGCTCAGGTGAGCTAAAAATATTAAAAAGAAAGTTTTAAAATTAGTGACAATAGCCTTCGTATATACTATTTTGCTAAGCTTTGTTTTAACGAACTTGCATACTGCGCATATGTCATGCAACAGAAAAGGTCAAAGTTTATATACAAATGTATATAAGGCCCAATTCTCTTGTATTATTATTTCTTTTCTGATTTTCAGAATGAAGCAAGCGCTGGGGGTTACATTAATGTTTGGTTTTCTTATACAAACAAATGGATTGTCCATATTCACAGATAACAGCGACAACAGTTCAAATTTACTGGACATCAATAGTCTGGACTCCAAAAATACGGACGTTTTCCGGCAGTTACTGAATCAAGAAACAATCATTAGAATGTCACTAGTGAAGAACGTACACGCTTTAATGAAGGACATGTTCGATCTGAAGAAAAGTATGGAGACATTGGAAACATCTCAGCAGAAAACAGATGTAGAAGTTGCCGCCTTAAAACAGGAGGTTGATAAACTAAAAAGACAAAACCAAAGGTTTGAGCTTGAACACAGGCGCTATGAAGAGACGTTTAGAGCTGTTACAGAAAATTTTACGAAAATCGACGAGCACATTCAACAGGTTGTGGCGCAATTGGAGGAGAAAAGAGAGAATTTCGAGATTAACACTAGTGTAGTACTGGCGGATCTTAAAGTAGAAGTTCGGTATCTGTCAGTTACTCTTCTGGACTTGAATAAACACACTTTGGAAATGGACAAGAATATTCCTAAATTGATAGAAGAAAAATATGAACACTTATCTTTGAGAATGAACACCTCTGTGGAGAACCTGACTAATGATATAATGACAACAAATAAAACAATGCTTAAATCCGTGTCTGACCTCGAACACTCACAAAATATTATACAAAATTCTATATCTGGTAAGTAACATTCTTTTCTGCTCTGTATAAACTCTTATAAAGGGTATTCCATGTTATTAAACAAAAGAATTGCACATAAGGTACAATTTGTCAGGAATATGGTTTCTTAAGGATGATGTTTACTCAGGGTTTTAGTTTTCAGAAGCGGATTGCTATTAAGTACAATATCTTTAAACAAAAATTGTTATAAATGGAGAAAATAGCAAAGTAGAAAATACATATTAAAATTTAACTTCATACTATTAGAGGAAAATATGCAATATCATAGGTAAATTTATAATGATGAGGAGGAAATTCCTACTAATTCATTTTTTTCTTTCGTACAATATTATTCCGAAAGTTAAGATTCTTTGTGATTTTCCACATCATTTTACAAATATGTCACATAGCTCATGTATTGTTTCAAATAATTAAATGAAATGCAATAAAGAATATCAATAATACAATCAAAATCATTCTAGGTAATATGTCAGAAGATTTTGGTCTTTGACATATAATTTTCATACCAACAGAATACGGGTAATATAGGTAAACTGATAGTTTAGAATTCCTATCATTCAGATATATGTAATAATAGATTAAAAAAAACGACAGAAGAAATTCGGACTGGAATATTTAAAAAAGTTTATTGCTTAAACTCTAGTTGTCTGTGTATCTTTCGAACACTTTTCCAATTTTTATTTTATTTCATTACTTGAAGAGTTTTCTTACTTGTTATGTTTTATTTAAAAGAAAATATTGATCATAGTTTTAGAAATTGAGGTATTTCTTGTTAAATACTCAAGGGCCACTAGTATAAAAAGTCGATGAATAACCTAGTTATTTGCAAGTGAATAATATCACTATATTCATAGGTCTAGAATGTAGAACAGGTGGTTTTTCATTTTTATCAGTGGAATTCTTCGTCCTCTGAGTAAATGTCATCCTTAAGGAATGTAAAACTTGTTGTATAAGTCATCGATGCCTTCCTTTTAAATTTATATTGTGATCATAGCAATGAATCCTGAGTTACATGCAAGAAGAAAGTCCATCCGATATGTTGCTGCAATTAGTGGAAAATAAATGTAACATTTATTAGTACATATGCGTAAGGAAAATTATTTAATCTCAAGTATATTTTTAGGAAAATGTCTACTTTTAAAAAATCGTTTTTTAGACTTGTTTCATATTAAGATACAAAATATGAAAATTATTGCACGAAAAAATTCTTTCAAGCTTCATTTTGATTCTTTTTCATTAATTGACAATTTTAAGAGTTATAGTACCTGGCTGAAGAGTGGACTGGGCATCCTTAATTAAACATTAAATTTGATTTTCAAATAAAATTTTTGAAAAGGTGATGTGTTTATACAGTTATGTCCAGGTAAAGAGGTACAGGTATGCAAAGAAATACAAAGGAAATATTATTGTTGTTTGTGTAGAAAGCAACATTAATGCACAAGAAACGATATCAGAAAACTCTTTTTAGCTAATGTCCAACATGAATTTGGATAACAGTACTAAAATAATGAAGATGACAGCCATATACATGCATCTATATTTTTTTGTATTTCAAAACCCCCTTTTCTCTGAGCTTCCTGTGAGTCTGATTCCTGCTTAAAGCATACATTAAACAATAAAAATCTTGATTATTCTCATATTTTTTTGTTTAAATATTTTTATCGGAAAAATACAGTGTAAAACTATTGTTTATTTTGGTATAAAAAAGATTAAAACAGTAATTGAACTAATGTGTTGAGCGATTTAATGTTCGATGTTGTTTAAAAAGTTACTTTTATTTCATTGACATTCATTAACTTTAGTGGTGATAAAATAGTTTCATATATATCGCACAGATAATTTGCACTTATATGAAAATTTACATGATAGATTTATATATAGAGAAAAAATTATTCGTCTCGCATTTTAATTTCAGTGAACATCAATAAAACATTAGAGGACATGATGGCGGAAGTGAAACAATCTAAGTATGACCAACTGCAGCTGTCTTCTACAGTGTCCTCTCTCGAGGTGTTCCGAATCAATTTGACGAATAACATATTAGGTAATAGCTTAAAATAAACAAGAGAACCGTTAGAGGTGTTAACACTTGACGAGTTTGCACTTTGCGATCTGTATCTTCATAATCTCTATATTCTTTTTTAATCTTCAATTTCCAGTCTGCGAAAACAAAAAGTTGGTTTTAAGGTATTATGCATCAACTCTTGCTAAAAGTAAAACCTAGAACTTCAGGTTTTGATTAATTATGCATACATCATAATTCCTTGGATCTCCTTTTATCTTCAATAAGTTAATTTTAAAAAAAAAGCACCAACCAAATTATATTTGTAGATAAATCAAAGAATGTAGGTTTCTCCGCCTCAACGACGTCCGGCAGCTCATCATGGAACAGTGGCACTCTTGTATTTCCTTCTGTCATCACCAACGAAGGCAATGGATATAATCCAAGTAACGGAATATTTACAGCTCCTACAGGCGGGATGTACGTTTTCTTCGTGAATGTTCAGAGTTCCGGTACTAAAGATATTTATGTAGACATTGTGTTGAATGGATCAACTAAAGTCAGAACGATGGCCTGGAGTAACGGTAATGATTATTACGATGCAGGTCCCAATATGGTAGTGTTGACTTTGCAGAAGGGAGACGCAGTTTGGGTCAAACATAGATCTGGTAAAGGCTATTACTACGATGGTCCTATTACTACTTTCTCCGGTTTTCTTATATACATGTAATTAAATCTGTAAAAAGTCATTGTGCATACCATGGACATTGCGTATGCACGTTCCGTTACAAATGTATAATCTATGTTGCAGTTTGAAAATAGACTACAATTGAGTAAAGACTTAATATTGATATTGTACACGATTCGATTGACAATTAATTTTATATTAATCTGTTTAATCTAGAAAGTTAAATATCTACAGCATAAATGTATGGGGAAAAGTGAGAAAAACTTTAATTTATTTTTGGAAATCTGTAGAAGAATTGGAATGGGTAAAGCTGATCAGTTCAGGGGTCAATGTTTTAAAATGTTACAAAAATATAAACAGAATTTTTAATTTCTACCCATTTATTTGACTCAAATTAGTATTTTTATCACTTTTATGACTAGCATAAACATCTTAAACAAATTTTTTATTGCAAATCCTGGCACCAATTGCTTTTGTGGAATACATTTTTTACACTCATATTTATGTGTGAGGGACGTTAAACAACAAACATATTTTGGTGATTATGTCTATTGGAATACTCAGCGACATTTCACTATGTATCTTTGTAAGAAATGTCTTTATCTTTTTTGCTCATCATCTCTAATAAAAGTATATAATTATTAAACCTATATCAATTTCTCTTGTCTTAAGCTGAAATTATATGCATTGTAAATCCCAAACTGTAAAACTATTTGTGACTTTTGTATGTTTTAGTCGACAAATAGCTATTGAAAGCTAAAATTATTTGTATATATGTACTTGCTTGCAATAAAGATTGTTTGATTTTTCTATTCATTGAATCAGATAACTGAGAATTAAAAGTTTGACACAATACTAAATAGGAACATTTATTTTATCGCATATTTACCGGGTATGCATGAGATCATTGTAAGTGGTGAAATCAGATATTAAGCTGAAGAAAGTGTTTTACTCGACCGTTAAAATAATAGATCGATTACTTGCAATCAAAGTTCTGATTATTTAATTAAAAGAACTATTTATAAGTCGGGGATATAGGGAATCCTTGTTAAGGTCAACAGGACCATTTTAAACATAGTAATATGCAAGCATCCTCAAGTTGTGAACGTTTAAGTTTTTCAATGGTTCAAGAGTGGGACCAATTCGGGGATCAAAATTTACATTTGAATACGTAAAAAAAATCTTTGTAAACACGCTGTATTGTAGGCTATTTCGTATACTAAGTACTAGGAAACGGCGCTATATCTCTTTGTAGGGAAAAATCATTATTACAGTACATGTATAGCATCTGGCTTAAACCACATCAGTCAAAATTTGCCCACAGCTAAAATGATTATGATATTATTATCATATAAAATCAATCATTACTCCTAATCACATCAAAAGTCCGAGATGTTCAAATAGAATGTTTTAAACTTTCTAGGTTTCTACTTTTACCTGCTTATGGTGTTTATGTCTCCTAACTTATTCGCTACTCAAGAGCTTGCTCTGGAAACGATTAATTTTTAAAGCTAGGCATGCTACTCACAGATAAGTTGATGTTACAGGGATTTCAACAACCTCGTTTAAAGTCGGCATTTCGTTATAATGACCTTGGATCGTATTTTGGCTGACTTGTTTCATACCAATTGTTAGGCCTTTGTTTTTTTTTTATACTGAATTGACTACGAGAAAGTTCGGTCTACCTGATCAATACATAGGGCTTACGGCGGGTGTGACCGGTCAACCGGGGATGCTTACTCCACCTAAACACATGATCCCATCTCTGGAATTTTCAGGTGTCCGTGTTTTATGCCCTCTTCACATATTTGTATTGTTTATAGATTTTTTGAGATTGATCATTGTTCGTATTCTTCACCTTTTACATTTACAAAGTTGGAAAAACAGTTGTTCCGTTTATCATGGACTTAAGTCGTAAGTTCGACATTAATGTCTTCCAAATATGAATCATTTGCAGAAAACCATTTGGTGTCATATAGTTAAGATTCACTGGGATATACTGAATTTAATTCCTAAGACTTTTTAAGTAAATCTAACGTAAAATTAATAGCCTCAGTAAAAATTCCCTTTCCCTTTTTAAAAAAAAAATGTCACTGATGTCCAAATACTGTTTTTTTTATTAATCAAGAAGAATGGTTCTTTTAAAAGTAAAAAAAGTCGTACGTTTTGATATTAACTTAAGTGGGGAATTGTGATTTCAATTGGTAAAAGTTTTTTTTTGAGTTTTTAAAACTCCTCATTTTGATATACACCACTTTAAAGAAAATGTAGCACGATGCTTCCGAAGTTTCTCCTTCACAACTGTAAATATACTGAGAGGAGTAAATATAGGGGCAGAATATTTTCTGCAGTCTGCAATGTATCCTTATAAAGACTTCAAAAAAGTTTTGGAGCTCAGTATAAGTAGGGTTATTCGAATTTATTCGCGACTAGGATGTTTAGGATAAAAACACAAACAATAAGCAAATATCTAATAGATTTACATTCATACAGATAATTTGAATAATGTGTAGATATTTTGTAAAATTATGTAATAAACTCATACAATGTGAGCAAAAATTTACACAGATTAATCTAGAAAATAGCACATAGTCGCATAATTGAACAGTAAAGAAAATCTAATGTGATTTTCAAAGAGATTGATTCAGAACTAATTAAGCTTTGGCCAAACTTTATTGAGAATATGTGTGCTAATGAAAATATGCGTATTTCTGCCGGACGGTGTAAATCACCATGTCAATGTCAATGTAACATGAACGAAGTGTTATATTAAAATACATATATCAGCTTGGATGTCAAGAAGTCTTAGTCAATCAAACTTGATAATTCTATTATGAAATCATAAATTCAATACAACTGATTAATATCAAAATTATTTTTATCCAAATATCATTAATACATCATTTCATAATTGTTAATTTTCCTTCCTGTTGCTACTACCTTACTTATTTTAATGTAAAACAATAAGCCAAATGTCAATATGATTAATATTCAAAGAAAAAAAATACTAAAAACTCTCAATGCTTAATTCATAATTTTTCTACAAGTACGTATGCTATGTACATCGTCTGGGTTTTAGTGTATATTGAAATACCACAATCGTGTACACACGTATATGTTCTTCCATGTAAATTTGTACCAATATAATTTTTTAAAAAAAATCTCAGCATACCAAAAAAAAAAAAAAAAAAAAAAAAAAAAAAAAAAAAACCGATTAACTTAAATGCATTGACTTAGAAAATACAAATGGTTTTACTTATATATATCTGTTTGAGATATACTGAAAAGAAAACACAGATATGCGCACTCATGCTTTCTGTGCTTTACTTCTATGTTTTAAATTTAAGCGTAATATTAACAAGCATTCTGAGAGTATTGCATAAGCAATACATGTCCCCTACCGGTATCCAATTTTCATTTAAGGATGTCATTTTATAAGACCCTGTATATGATAACTGCCCCCCCCCCCCCCTCAAGTGTGGACATTTCGGATTACTTGTTTATGAATATTAATGAAATGTTGGAATGAAATATGTCTTACAAAGACGTGTTTGACTAAAATCACACAATGTATGAATAACATGACAATTACTTACGTTACTCGTTTTCTATCACCCGGTAAAAAATCTCTGGCTTTACTTATAAATATTTAGGGATATAAAAAACAATTTAAATCGGGAAAAATATTCAGTCTTTATTGCATCTGGTATTATTTCGCCAAGTATAGTAAGTATTCCCTGGTAGGAACTGTTGAAAACAATGCACAATATTACTTTACCGTCTTCACTCTACCATCGGCTCATACATTCACCTCTGTCGTTGGCTCACGTATATTACAATGATAAGCACGAGAAATAGTGCGTTTGTTTTAATTCATTATAATCAAATGTCTGAGGTAAGGATAGTCCTTAAAGATAGATATTTACTAAATAAATATAAAACTATTAGTTTAATTTGAAATAACCCTTTAAATGTTATGTTTTTTACGTTACGTCAAAAATCTTGACACGAGCCCATTGCAGAGGTGTCTGAGAGAAGAACGAACGACAACTCTGCATAGGAGATTGTACCGTCTTCTGTCACAATCGACAACCTCGTTTTTAGAACATTTTAGTGCAGCACGAACCCGATCGTGAACACGATGATAAAAAAGAGGTATGCTTAAAACTGATTTACTCTAGCACCTGTTGGTCAAACGTGACAGAATTCAAACTTGATCTATAGTTTGTCACTATAAAGCTACCTAGCAAGTTTGAAATCAATAATTTTAAACCTGACAACCTCGTTTTGTAACATTAATATAGTGCAGCACGAACCCGATCTTGAACTATTATAAAAAAGAGGAATGTTTAAAACTGATTTACTCTAGAACCTTTTGGTTAAACGTGATAAAATTCAAACTTGATCTTTAGTTTGTCGCTATAAAGGTACATAGCAAGTTTCAAATCAATTCTCAAAAGCATAAAGAAAAAAAGTGCGGAAAACCAAGTGGGACAGACTGATAGACAGACAAACGGACAGACAGACGGACGGACAGACTCAGAGGAAACCTATAGTCCCCTCCGGTTTCACCGGTAGGGGACTAATAAATTGATTCGCCACATGTAATCGTAGTCTCCAAACGATATAAAATACGACCTGCATACGGACCTTTTACTTAGCGGAGGGATCTTAATCTTTTGTACATTAGAAACAGCCTGTTCGTTACCTTCTTTTACATTAAAGATATTGTAGTTATTTTAACATCGGTCAGATATTTTAAGATTATTTACTGGTATCGAATGTCAGGGTTATCATATAAAACATATATTCTGTGACGAATGTTCGATTTCAACATCAAACAAGAAATTCATATAATTTTCACATTTTTTCACATGTTAACGCTTGAGTAGTCCTATACTGTCTGAACGTCTTCTAGATATCTTCCATTTTATAAATGACTTTTGAATTCTTTTTCAAGCTCAAAGCAGCCAGGATGGTGCAAGCAGGGGGAAGGGTTTGAAGTTGTTTAGGAAATTATAAATGAAATATTTGTAAAGATCAAATCACAAACAAAAGGCAAAATTACCAGAATGTTATGAATCCTGAAATGACTGTTGTCGATCGTGGGTACTTCACTGCCTTTTAGGAAAAATACATGTGGATTAACATAGAAGGCTTGAGAAGAGACTACGAAATAACATTTATCAAAATCATCACGGTCTATGTAAAAATGTAGTATGAGAACATTTTAAGGCATCGTTATTCTCCCTTAGTCACTAATGCATTACAATACAGGAACCAAGAACAGATGTATGTAATGAATCTAAAAAGCAGTCATATGTTGTGGTTTAAACTTCCTTTTCTATTCTATAAAATGAAAGTATCCCCCCCCCCAAAAAAAAAATGAAAAAAAAACAAACAAACAAACAAACAAAAAAACATTACCAATGGGCAAGAAAATGTCGTCGTCGATGCTTTTTCTATGACATAAACGTGCATTTAAAATATCCTTTAATTGGATTTGACTTCTTCAGAATTTCTTTTTACTTTATAATTAAAAAAACAGATGAACAAAAACATTAAAAAGGAAGTTAACTAGTGTCAATAACAGTCGAAAACAGTTCTTTTTAAATATTTGTCAACTCATGCTCTTAACAAACGTGCATTCTGCGCATGTGCCATGCGATAGAAAAGGTCAAAGCTTATATGCAAATGTATTTAAGCCTCAATATTTTCTCGTATCATTATTCCTTCTCTTATTTCTAAAATGAAGCAAGAACTGGTGTTTACATTAATGTTTGGTTTTCTCATACAAACAAATGGATTGTCCATATTCACGGACAGCATCGACAACAGTTCTACTCTACTGGACATCAGTGATCCGGACTCCAAAAATGTGGACGTCTTCCGGCAATTACTGAACCAAGAAACAATCATTAGAATGTCACTAGTGAAGAACGTACACGCTTTAATGAAGGACATGCTCGATCTGAAAAAAAAGTATGGAGACATTGGAAATATCTCAGCAGAAAACAGATGTAGAAGTTGCCGCCTTAAAACAGGAGGTTGATAAACTTAAAAGAGAAAACCAAAGGTTTGAGCTTGAACACAGGCGCTATGGGGAAACTTTCAGAGCTGTTACAGAAAATTTTACGAAAATCGACGAGCACATTCAACAGGTTGTGGCACAATTGGAGGAGAAAAGAGAAAATTTCGAGACAAACACTAGTGAAGTACTGGCGGATCTTAAAGTAGAAGTTCGGTATCTGTCAGTTACTCTTCTGGACTTGAATAAACACACTTTGGAAATGGACAAGAATATTCCTAAAATGATAGAAGAAAAATATGAACAATTATCTTTGAGAATGAACACCTCTGTGGAGAACCTGACTAATGATATAATGACAACAAATAAAACAATGCTTAAATCCGTGTCTGACCTCGAACACTCACAAAATATTATACAAAATTCTATATCTGGTAAGTAACATTCTTTTCTGCTCTGTATAAACTCTTGTGAAGAGTACTGCATGTTAACAAATAAAAGAATTGCACATAAGGTTCAATTTGTCCGGAATAAGGTCTCTTAAGGATGATGTTTATTCAGGATTTTAGTTTTCAGAAACAGATTGCTATTAAGTACAATATCTTTGAACAAAAATTGTTATAAATGGAGAAAATATCAAAGTAGAAAACACATATTAAAATTAAAATTTCATATTATACTATTTGAAGAAAATATGCAATATCATAGGTAAATCTCTGGTGATGAGGAGGAAATTCCTACTAAGTTTTATTTTTTCTCTTTTTTTTTTCTTACAATATTATTCTGAAAGTTAAGATTCTTTGTGTTTTTCCTCGAATATGTCATATAGCTCATGTATTGTTTCAAATAATTAAATGATATGCAATAAAGAACATGAACAATATAATCAAAATCATTCTAGGTAATATGTCAGAAGAATTTTGTCTTTGACCTCATATAATTTTCATACCTGCAGAATAAGGGTAATATAAGTAAACCGACGTTTTACATAATTTAGAATTCCTATCGTTCAGATTTTTGTAGTAATAAATTTTAAAAAAAGTCATCAGAAATTCGGACTGGAATAATTTAGAAGTTTATTGCTTAAACTCTAGTTGTCTATGTATTTTTCCATCACTTTTCCAATTTTTATTTTATTTCATTATTTGAAGAGTTTTCGTACTTGCTATGTTTTATTTATAAAGAATTTATTGATCATAGTTTTAAAAATTGAGGTATTTCCTGTTAAATACTCAAGTATACTCTTATTGAAATTTACATGCATTTTTTAAAATATAAATTTACTCTACTTAGCTGTCTTTCAACTACCATTTAATACCAAAATCGGTCTAATTTGTAACTGTATTTTTAACCCTCGAAAAAAATTTGATTATTTTACGTTCAATCATCACAGAGAACATTTATTAGTACATATACAGAAAGAAAATTATTAATATCAAGTATATTTTAAGAAATAGTTCTACTTGTAAAAATCGTTTTTAAGACTTGTTTCATATTAAGATACAAAATATGAAAATGATTGCAAGAAAAATGTCTTTCAAGCTTCATTTTGATACTTTTTGATTAATTGATGATTTTAAGATTTTAAGAGTGGACCGGGCATCCTTAATTAAACATTAAATTTGATTTTCAAATACAAGTTTTGAAAAGGTGATGTGTTGATACAGTTACGTCCAAATAAATAGGTACAGGTATGCAAAGAATTATGAGAGAGTGGTTAGAGAAATAGTATTGTTGTTTGTGTAGAAAGCAACATTAATGCACAAGAAACGATATCAGAAAACTCTTTTTAGCTAATGTCCAACACCAATTTTGATAACAGTACTAAAATAATGAAGATCATACCCATATACATGCATATACAAGAGTTCGTGTCGATTTTATCGATATGTTTTGTATTGTAAAGCCCCCTTTAAATTATAGAATCATATAGATTTTTATCCAGTTTGTTAACCAGCAGAACAAAGATGTCAAAAATAAACGATTTGATACTGCCAAATATCTGAGCTTACTGTTAGTCTGATTCCTGCTTAAAGCATACATTAAGCACTCAAAATCTTGATAATTCTCATAATGTTCTTTTAAAATATTCTTATCGGAAAAATACAGTGTAAAACCATTGTTTATTTTGGTATAAAAATAGATTAAAATAATAATTGGGGTAATGTGTCGAGTTACTTCTATTTCCTTGACATTCATAAACTCGTGGTGATAAAATAGTTTCATATATAGATAATTTGCACTTATCTGAAAATTTACATGATAGATTTATTTATTTCGAAAAATTTATTATTCTCACATTTTAATATCAGTGAACATCAGTAAAACATTAGAGGGCATGATGGCGGAAGTGAAACAATCTAAGTATGACCAACTGCAGCTGTCTTCTACAGTGTCTTCTCTTGAGGTGTTCCGAATGAATTTGACGAATCACATTTTAGGTAATAGCTTAAGATAAACGAGAGAATGGTAAGAGATGTTAATTAAAACTTGACGAGTTTGCACTTTGCGATCTGTATCTTCATAATCTCTATTCTTTTTTTAATCTTCAATTCTGGGAAAAGTAAAACATACATGTAGCACTTCAAATTTTGATTTATCATGCATACATCATAATTCCATGGACCTCCTTTAATCTTCAATAACTTAATTTAAAAAAAAGCACTAAACCAATTATATTTGTAGATAAACCAAAGAAGGTAGGTTTTTCCGCCTCAGTGACGTCCACCAGCTCTTCATGGAAAAGTGGAACGCTGGTATTTCCTTCTGTCATCACAAACGAAGGAAATGGATACAACCCGAGTAACGGAATATTTACTGCTCCTGTCGGCGGGATGTACGTCTTCTTTGTAAATGTTCAGAGTTATGATAGTCAAACCATTTATGCAGACATTGTGTTGAATGGATCAACAAAAGTAAGAACTATGGCCTATAGTTACAGTGGCAGTCCTGATTATTACGACGCAGGTCCCAATATGGTGGTGCTGAATATTCATAAGGGAGACGCAGTGTGGGTCAAACGTTACTCTGGACAAGGTTATTACCACGAAGGTCCCATTACTACTTTTTCCGGTTTTCTCATATACAAGTAATTAAAGCAGCACGTGAAAGGTCATTGTGCATGCTAGTATTATGGATATTAAATATGCATGTTCCTTTACAAATGAATAATCTATGTCGCAGTTCGATCAAAAATAGACTGCAATTTGCTAACCTACACGATTTGTTTGACAATTGATTTTATATTTAATCTGGAAAGTAAAATATCTACAGCATAAATATATGAAGAAAAGTAAGAAAAAATCGTTTAAATTTATTTTATGGATATCTGTAGGGGTAATTGAGTAAAGCTGATCAGTTCAGGGCTCAATGTTTTTAAACGAAAATAGAAACAGAATTTTCAAAATTTTCCCATCTATTTTAGACAAATTAGTATTTTTATGACTTTAAGACTAGCCTAAATATCTTAAACAAATTTTTATTGCCACCAATTTTGCTTTTTGTTGAAGACACTTTTAATACTCATATTTTGGTGATTTGCTGGTTTTTTTTTAATGTGTCTTTAGAATACTCAGAGACATTGTATCCCATGTATTGTCGTAAAAAAGTTCTTTTTCTTTTTGTGTGTAATTTCTATTAGAAGTTTATAATTATTAAACCTATCGATTTCTATTGTCTTAAGCTGAAGTGATATGCATTGTAAATCCAAAACTGTACAACTGTGACTTCTGTAAGTTTATAGTCGACAAATAGCTATTGAGAGCTAAATTATTTGTATATTTGCTTGCAATAAAATTTGTTTTATTCTTCTATTCACTAATTCAAATAACAGAGAATCAAAAGTTTGACATAACACTAATAGGTACATTTATTTTATCGCATACTTATGCATGAAATCATTATTAGTAGTGACATCAAAGATTAAGCTTAACAAAGTGTTTTATTCGACATAAACACTAATTTACTTTTGAAGCTTGCAATCAAAATTCTGACAAAAGAACAATGGTTACAATAGGAGGTCATTTTACGTGAGAATATATGTGAAACCTGTTCAAAATTGTCTTTGTTAAGAGCCAATAGCCATTTTAGACAATTTATATGCAAGCATCCTCAGGTTGTGGAGGTTCAAGTCAATGGTGCAGGGGTAAGGGTGGGACTAATTTGGAATATGCAAGAAAAATTAAAAAAAAAATTGAAATGAAGAATAACAGACACGGCTAGTTATATCAATGTGCAAATATTAGCTAGTGCTCAGTATTATTAAATAATTTTGAAAATAGTAATTATAGGTGATAAAAGGCCCTTATAAAAAGATTCTCGAAGTAATAATTTCCATTACTTAGAAGGGGTCACGTGATACTGAAATGTCATAGGTGTCAATGTTCAATTAGAACTCGTATAGCTAATTGAAAGAATGAATATATCGAATTTTATTTTGATGTTTAAAATGTAGACTACACATTATGATTGACAGAAATTTTGACACTGATGATATTCCTTTGGTAAAGGATGTTCAATTTGTTTTGTATTGAACATCTAGCAGAAAGAAATAACCAAGAAAATTGTCGACAAGTAGAGAGGACGGCGAAGACGTAGCTGTCGACATCTCGGGATCTCGGCTGAATAGAACGGTTTACTACATTTTTATTTAAAATTATTTATAAATATCGGAATATAAATTCTCTTTTGTTCAGGTTTTTAATAAATGATTAATAAATAAATCTTTCATATCTTTAATCTGTTTCCAGTAGTGAATATCAAGTACTAGAAATGACACTCTTCAAAGGAATTTCATATTTCTACCAGATTCTGTGGGCGTTTTTTAGAAACACATCTTAAAATTATTATTTTTTGTTTTAAAAGAATAAATCGTTTAAACGTCCAAATCTGACCCCCCGATAATTTACAAAAAATTAAATTAAAGATGCATAATGTTTAAAAGCAAGAAAATGCACTTTTATGACCCTTTCACATGTCCGATCAACTTATAATTAAAGCTATATATGGCGTATCCGAGCTAAAAAATAAAGAAACGAAATTGAGTGTATATAAACATGATATATGTTATTTACGTTCAAATTAAAATTTTCTCCGATTTTGAACTTGAATAACCTCGTTTCCATAGTTAAATTGACCTTAAACTGTGTCTGTTATTTAAATGCGGAGTCAGTAAATAAATCGTTTATTGTTTTATATTTCCTATATCTTTGAAACGTTATTGATTTAAATTGTATAATTTACAGGAAAGTCCTATCTTTACATAAAGTTATAAAACAAATAGAAAGATCTTTTTAATTTTAATCAGTCTGAACTTATAAAAATACGCCATATGTGACTTTAAAGATTTAGATATTAGTTAAAAAAATCAGTAGAATGAAAAGGGCGTTAAAAATACCTTGGAGTGATTTATTATTTATCTTACTACAAGGAGAGAGTTTGCTAAAATAAAAAAGGACAGGAGTGGATTTTGACAAAAATTGAATTCCTAGATGAGGAAGATCATATTAACTTGTCTGACATGAATAAACAGGATATTTTGAAACAATGCAATTTGGACTTTAAAGTACACCGACACTGATGTTTCTTAATCCACCAGCGATGATAATGACATTTAATTGAGGTTTAATTTTCAATTTCTTCACGATTTACTTCTTTTTTTTATACACTGAGTGTAGTTTTATATCATAATTCAACCGCCTAAGTGTATTTCTTGTAGGATTTTGCAAAATTATATATTATGTATGAAATAAATTCTAATTAAGCAACAAGTTTAAATGGATTAATAATCTCTTTTTAAAAAATGCTTTTTTAAAGTAAGAAAAATAGTACATCCTTCGCTATACGTTCTGTTTACAAATCCCATTGTGTATTTAATGTATAAATATAATTTAACGAATTTCTAGGAAATCACTTCAAATACAACTCGAAAGTTAAGCAGAAAAAAAAATCAAAGTTAAGCCTGCCAAATTAAAAATGTATGCTTATGTTTTGTCGGTCTCTATCACAAAAAAGGAGGGTTTTTAAGTTCAGTTTATCATAAAACTTAATACACCTCGAACACACGCTAATGTATTCATTCACGCTTGATAGAAGCTCCGCCTCTCATTCAAATAATACAAAGACCTACATAGCTGTATTGGCGAAACCTGGATTTTACAGTGAAGTATACGATTTTATTTAATCAATATAATGTATATATTGAAAGTCTCTTTCCAAAAAATCTTTTATGAGTATCTAAACAGACTGTGCTTGAAGACTTTAGCTATAATATAACAATTTTTAGATTTGAAAAGGTAAAATTCTGCATTTAAAAAGGATCGAGAAAGCGGTGTTATGAAGATTCATTCTTCTGAAAAATATTTTTAATACTAAAAATTCGTCTCTGAGGCATAAAAAATATTTATGAATGGGGACAAAGCCCTCGCGATTGCAGAAAAAGGGCCCCTTTCACCGCCCGCCAAAGTCTAGGAAATATGAGAAAAATCTTCCTTAATCCTTTTTGTTCACGTTTGTGCGTTCAAATGCCGCAAAATTATACCTTACTAGCCTCCAATAATCCATTATCACTTATTTATTATTAAAACAAATTTAAAAAAAAACGCAACAATTTAGCCCTATTGTAAACACAGTAAGTACTTTGCTTAACCATGCAGGATTGAAACCTATGACTTCAGAGCAATGGCGCGTAATCGGCGATCAAAATATGCATATTGAGACTCAAAATTTAAATCAATTAACAATATTAACAATACAATTTATCCTTCTTGATTGGAATAGGTAAAGGTTGATAAATGACCAATCTTAGACGTCTCTCTGTGAGTAAAAAAAGGGACGTTAAACAATATACAATTAATCAATCAATCAATCAATATTTCTTATAAACAGAACAAAATCGAGAACATGACAAAACATGTACCTATGGAAACATCAAATATGGGATCAGGTTTGCAGGAAGGATCCCCTGACGACCGGTCCTACCAGTCTGAGCACTCTGTATGTATCAGCTAACTGTGCATTGAATAATTATAATTGATTATTAAAGGTTTTTCTGAGCAATATTTCATCCTTTTTTTGGCAATGGTAAAGTGTATTCCGTAGTCAACATTACTTTAAAAATAACAGCATAACAACTGGCTTGAACCACGTCAGTCAAAATTTACCAACAGCTGATTATGATATTAGCGTTATGTAAAGTCAATCATCAAATACATATGTGTATATCAAAAGTCTAATGTGTCCAAATAAAATCTCTATTTCAAACTTTCTAGGGTTACAAAGTTAGAAAAACTGATATCTTATTCTATTTTTCATGAAATTCAGTTGTAAATTTGACATTAATTTCTATATTCAGTAAAAATTCCAAACACACTTCATATGCAGAAAATCATTCGGTGGCATTTAGTTCAAGTTCTTAACACCGGTCAGATATTTTAAGATTATT